ATCTATATTTTTTTTGCCAGCTTTATTATCAAACCCACTCCTCCACTTAGCAGAAATTCTGGTTTCTCTTAATTACCTACATGTTTAGCTTAATATCCTGTTTGGGGAGGGCCATTTCTCATAACCCCCAATACCTCCACCACCATAGGAGGGCTACACAAGCCATATTGTAATGTAATGTTAATAAAAATCACCTTTCCTTTTCAAACTGCAGCCTCTGAAATGTTCTCTAAAATGTAAAGAAATATTGCAGCCTGGAGGCATTCTGTACACAATTTGTGTGCAGAACCCTCCAGAAATGTAATTTCTTTTGCTCTTCACAAAAAAAAAACAGGGTATGACAAAGTTTGTTAAAATCCTTGCAACACACATAGATCACTCAGAGTGAATTAATTTTTCAGCAACAAAAGAGTTTTTGCTTAAATTTGCTTAATTTTGCATGTGAGCCCAGTGGTACCCTTTCTTTCTGAAAACAATATAACAATAACAAATAGTTATGACCAGTATGATTTTATATGGCCTTTCAGTATAGTCTTCCTAACCACTTCTGAATATAAATCAGTTAGGCAAAACATCTGATCATCCATTTCTTAAAGGCAAACAGACGGTTCACATTGGAAGAGAATTTTCCATAGAGCTCAGTGAATGAGTTGAAGCTGTGCTGACCTCCATCATCCAACCATGTGCAAGAAAAAAATGCTGTTTTTTTTTTTTAATTTTCCTTGCATGTGATTGCACATTCTTTGCAAAGTGAAATTGCACCACAGTCCCTAAGCCCTGGAAACTTCCCTTGCAAACAGCTTATTGGGCTTTAGTAAATCAACCTATGTTGTTCCTTTGGCGTTGGCTCTTAAAATTCATGATGATTTTCTATCTCTGAGTTCGAGGATATTTGCAGTTTACTGTGGTTGTATATCTGGGAGATCATTTCCTCTTTCTTTCTTTTTTTTTTTTTACTTTTATGAGTTTTTTTTTCACTGCAAGCACATTTTTTAATTAATTCTGTTTTGTTTCATGCTTTTTATCTCCCTATTTTCTACTGACCTACAGTAATATTATAAAAAAAAAACCTTGAGAAGTGTTCCAGCACAGATTAAACTTGAACAAACAGGTTTCTGTGTTGTTTTACTGTCTTATGTGCCAGTTTCATATTATAGTGTACTCTGTTTTCTTTAAACGTGTGCCTTTTTCCTAATAAAAAATTAGTAATAAAAAAGAGAATGTTAGTAGAAATAGATATTATTCCAGGAGCACTATCTGGGCATTTCGTATATGTGTTGAAGTAGGCTTCACAAGCAAAAATCACTTAGTGTTACCTTTTTGCAATTGTTTTTATATTACTTCATAACAGGGTCAGAGCTATTGGATGTTTAAAAAAAAAAAAAAAGCTACGAAAACAAGTACAACATGCACCCTGCAATAAATCTTGACAATGAGCTGGACCAGAAAGGTTAATTTTTCAAAAACTCAGATTTTCTTTTTTCATAACCTACACATAACAGACTTGTTAAAGAAAAGGCTGCATTGATAAATTTTACATGATAAATTGTGCTTACACTAAGGGTTTGTCTTTCCATGTTGATGGTTTTTTTTCCTTCACTAATTTAATAGTGGAAAGATTTTCACAGATACACATTTCCCATACTCACTTCTCCGGGGAAATAATATGTGTAAAACGAATAATCTTTCTGCAGAAACACAGAAATATACACCATTTTATCCATTGCAATTGATCTGTGAAGTGAGATTCTGTTTAAATGCATTTGACTTTTTTCATATACACTATGTTGAAGGCTTATTTTCTTTTTAAATACTTTAACCCGTGTGTTTCAATCATTGGAAATAAGGGTGGTTAAATAAGCTGACTTTTTATCATGTCTAAAGTCCTTTATTATATGTAGCAAAAGACACTGGCTTTTTTTAAAAAGACACTAGCTGGTAGGGTTGTGCACAGTGTATATGTGTCACCTAGGCTTCTCACCTATATGTGTGGGGGACTCTAGGATTTGTTTCTGTTATTAGAAAACATTTGTTTTGTTTTGTTTTGTTTTAGAACTTAGTCAATTTTGTTCTGGGTCCTTGAGCTCAGAGGCTTTGTAAAGCTTTGGGTGGGGTAAAGCCTCCATTCCTGTGTCCACATCTTGCCTGGTAGCCAGACCTCATGAATTAGTCTCAGCTGTCCTCTAAACTTTTTTTTACATGAGCTGACTGAGGCTTAACAGACTTCCTCTCCTTCACTCCCTCTGCTGTGGGAGCCTGCACCTGTGTGAAAAGGCTGACTGCTGACATAACACTAAAAAGGCACATATGCTGCCTGTGTGTTTTGGGAACCCATCAGGGGGCACCCTGTTAGTCAGAGGCTGACATACTGTAACTTTACTTACTGGCTCAGACAAGCAGCAGTTTCATTTTTTTATTCAATAGACTTGCTGTAAGAAAGCCCCCCTGAATTGAACTGTGTTTGCAGACTTGGTGAATAAAAATGCAGAACAAAAATGCTTGACCTGTTCCTGGGGTTCTGGTCTTGTGCACATTTTACCACTGCAACTATTTTTTGAGTCTGTCCCTTTTACACTTGTCAAATTCCTTCTGTGACTTATTTTTTTTATGGTAATAAATTCCCCGCCCCTTCTAGATGAATCTCCACTATTTTGTTCAGTTGTATTCTTTTTACTTACCTTTCTCTGAGAGTTTTTCTATTTTCTTGTTTGCCCTGATGATATCATCACAAGAGCCACAAAGTTCTTCACTCTGCCATCACCGGAAACTGGAATCCAAAAAGGAACCTTGCACTTGGGGCATTTGACACAGAGTACCCCCGGGGATCCCTTCTCCAGCTCTGGCAGATATGTGTCCTGCATGGAGAGGTAGGGTGACAATGCTGCAGTGAATTCACTGAGCCTAAGATCATCAGGTACAGCATTTATACTTCTGAAGATAGAGCAAACATTTATGCTTTGTGGAAAAGATAAGTTAAATACCAACATCTCAGAGGAGAACTGGAAAGAAATTTGCTCTTCGGTGGCTGTCTAAACAATTTCCAAATACATTCCTGTTTACTTTTTATGATGGACTGCCTTGCAACCCAACTGGGTGCCCACACCAAACAGTGCTTCCTATCCTCCAAACCCTTCCAGCAGACCGATTGCTAATACCAGCCCTTTACCCCAAGCATAGTACACAGATAAGATGTTGAGGTAAACCCAAAGGAATAACTTTATTGAACAGAAATATAGGTTTTTAAACACTTCAAAAATAGGGGCAATCAGCACATGAATAATAAAAACAAATATTATACATTTGGGGTAAATATCCCACAATGGTTAGGTAACGAGTTAAATTTTACACAAGACTAATCACATCCTGCAGGAATCTCCAGGAGGATTAGCAAACAGAAACAATAGGTTACTCATTTAGGGAATTCAGAACTAGGAGGCACACAATGAAGAAATTACAAAATGGGAGAAAGACACATAACACTTAGACAGGGTAGGAAAACACAGGTACGCATTATAAATAATGTAAACAGATAACACTTTAAAAAACAGATTACACATAACAGCAAGAGACCCCAGCATCAGGTTTTTTGAGCTGATTATAATCTTCTGCTTTGAGTCTCTGAGTCTAGGAGGGTGTTGAAGCAGTCAATGCTGGTTTGGGTTGTTGATTATATACCAAATCTGTATCTGGGTCCTCCAGTTCTCAGAGCCTTTGTGTTTCAGGTAGACATGGATTTGAATCCATAGTAAAACTTATATAAAGGTCCTCCAGGCACACACCTCCCAAGAAACAGAACCCCCTCAAATGCCAGGGCCCATAGGCAATAGGCTAGCCTGCAGTCCCCTCCAAAAGCCTTTGTCCCAGGTGGGTCTGTCACAGTCTTCCCCTTGCTTCCAGAGCTGTGGACATGAGGGGAATATGTTACATATATGGTGAATGCCAACGGAGGCTTTGGATCAGGGTGTACTTTCTAATACATACAATTCTCTATACTGTAGTAATTTACATACTGTAGAGGTTCAATGGAGGCCTTGTTAAATAAACCAATCCAAGCTACCCATTGACAAAAAGGCAAAATCGACTGGCTTTATCTTTAGTGCAACTAAACAAACTATAGCTCACACCTGCAGGTCCCCTTCATAGAACTTCCTGGAGGTCAAAACTCACTTGTGTAGCACCCTCCTAGTGCAGCTAAGGAGAGCTAGACCCTAATGGTTAGTCAGGAGCTGTTAGCAGTTCAGGTGTAATAGCCAGATGGGTCAAATTGGGGTCAGGGCTGAGAGACTCTGAAGGCTAGCCACTCTGGAATTTCCCCCCTGCTCTAAGGCTTTCGGAGGAGGACCTTGGTGGCAGTGGGTAGATCTGAGGAGTGGCTGGCTGCACTCTTGAGAGGCCTCAGCCAATCTCCAACAGAAGGCTTGGTAAGGGGCTGTGTCAGGGATCCGGGTATGACCAGAGATGTGTGGACTGACAGGGAAACGCAGGCTTCAAGTAAGGTGTAAAACAATATAATTTATTAAAGGTATACAGTACACAAACGCAGTGCAAACAAACCAAACCTAAACTAATATAAATATGTACAATGAAGTGCAAACAAAACCCAAATCTTAACTGATATAAATATGTATGGAGCACAAACGTAGTCAGGCAGGCTGGGTCGGTAGCTAACGGGCAGACAAGGTACAAAGGAGCAGGCAGAAGAGTGGTCAGGAATAGCCGGAGTCGGTACGGGCAGAGGTCAAGCAGTGTCAGAGTCCAGCAGGAGCGACAGGCAGGCAGGAGGAAGTATACAGGGCACAAGGGAGCAATACACCAAGGCACTGAGTGCAGGCCTGGTCCTGCTTTAATACACCTCCTGCAATCAGCCTCAGGTGATGGCCTGATTGCAGGAGTGAGACACTGGCTGCTGAGAGCACCCGCTGGCCAGCACTGGTACTGCAGCCCACAAGGCAGGTAAGCCCCAGCACTACCAGAAATAAGACCATTCCTGACAGTACCCCCCTCCCCTCAAGGAGCAGCCTCAGGATGCTCCAAACAGTCCGTAATGGCCCAAATGTTTTACCGCCTGGGTCCGGTAACTGGCTGGACATCCCACTGCCGGAATCAAGCGATTGGCTGAGTCTCCTGCTGATAGGCCTATCTTTTTGCAGGAGACAGCAGGAAGGCAGGTTGCTGGACACAGGATTTCCAGAAGCAGGCTGGGCATCAGGAGCCGGCACCTCAGGCTGGGCAGCAGGCGGAGGCACGTTAGGCTGGGCAGCGGGTGGAGGCACGTCAGGCTGGGCAGCGGGCGGAGGCACGTCAGGTGAGGCAGCAGGCACCGGGCCATCAGGCAAGGCAGCAGGCACCGGGCCATCAGGCAAGGTAGTGGGCACTGGGCCATCAGGTGAGGCAGCGGCACTAGGCCATCAGGCGAGGCAGTGGGCACCGAGTCATCTGGCACGACAGCGGGCACCGAGTTGCCTGGCACGACAGCGGGCACTGAGCCATCTGGCAGAACAGCGGGCATTGGGTCACCAAGCTCGACAGCGGGCACTGTGAAGACAGTGAAGCATGGTTGCGCAAGCATCATGCTATGGGGATGTTTCTCATGCTACGGTGTTGGGCCTATTTATCGCATACCAGCGATCATGGATCAGTTTGAATACATCAGAATACTTGAAGAGGTCATGCTGCCTTATGCTGAAGAGGAAATGCCCTTGAAATGGGTGTTCCAACAAGACAATGACCCCAAACACACCAGTAAACGTGCAACATCTTGGTTCCAGACCAACAAGATTGACGTTATGGAGTGAAAAGAAAACTTGTGGGGTGACATCAAAAATGCAGTTTCTGAGGCAAAACCAAGAAATAGAGAACTGTGGAATGTAGTCCAATCATCCTGGGCTGGAATACCTGTTCACAGGTGTCAGAAGTTGGTTGACTCCATGCAACACAGATGTACAGCAGTTCTCAGAAACAGTGGTTATACAACTAAATATTATTTAAGTGATTCAAAGGAAAGCAAAATCTTCAAACATTTTTCAGTTTATATAGTGAGTGTTTGAGTTTGTAAAGAATACAAACACTGCTATTTTTTTGAACAGTCTAATATTCACTTTTCTTCAACTTTTTTTAGAGAAACAACACAAATTTGATATATTTTTCTTCATGTTTTGATGTGGAATAGAATGTGTAGTGTTCCCAATGCATTTGTGTGTATGGAAATAAAAGCTATTAGAAGGATTTTCAGCTTTATTCACTTTTTTCAACACACTGCTATTATTGTGAACACAACTGTATATAGTCAGCAATGAATCTGACCTAGTCATTCTTTCTATAGTTTATTATATTAACAACACTTCCCTGTTGACTAGCAGTATGTTGAGTTCCTTGTAATGAGGCTAATTGCTTTATATTCATTAATACTGTATATACACAGCTGCTTTTCATATACAGGCCAGCAAGTTTTCAGACTGCATCTTTTTGTGAAATGGCAATTCTAATAATGTACTGATATGTACACATGCTGGTTTACACTTTCTGTGCTGTATCGAAACCTTTAATAAAATACATTGAACAAGTACATTGACCGGTTTTGGAGCCCAAATTGTTTATACATTACCATGCAGCACTGGCTGGCCAACCTTGCATGCTAGATAATCCAGCCATGGTGAAATATTAGTTTTAAAGAACAAAATATCTTAAACCAATAATGTAATTTAACCTCTGGGAAATTAAGATAGAACTATAGATAGAAGTAGAAGAAATACCAGGTGAGTTGCTAGAACGATAAAGTGAGGGAAGGTTAAAAGGGACTCAGTTCTCCAGTAACAGCATGTGAATATGAATAATGGTGATGTGTTCCTTACTCAATCTGGTCTTCAGTGCATCTGGCTTTGACACATCAGGGTAGTTCTTGAATATTAAAAAGACTAATTTATCATCTCTTCTGCAGAAAAAAAAATGGAGAATTAGTGAATGAATGGCTCTGTGCTTGAAGCTTAACTTTCCAGCAGTAGTGGCATAGAAACAAATAATTAGATGGCATTAACGCAGATGGGGCCAGAGAGGGGAGCAGACTGCTACCGCAATTTCCTTTTTCTTACCCTGGTACCAAATGTCTGCTACTGGAAGGACATACAATATCTAATGGTCTTCCCCATGCATTCAGGTTTTGTGTATTTTCCACACCTGGTATATAATTATAAAAACCCTCATCTGGGATCTTTAATATAAATAAGTTCTTAATTTAAAAGAATGACTTTTTCAGCTTTCATCAATAAAGTGGAAAAGATCCCACTGCTGGGTTAATGCTGAATGTTGATGGTCACTTCATTTCAATTTCCATAAATCAGTTGTTTGAACTATTCAGCCTTTTCCAACATGACAAGACTCAGGTCAAGAAAACTTAAGGAAAGCAAATATAAAGGTCAATGATCAAAACAATGAAGTGAAATTGAAATTTTTCCTAAAACATCTTTAAATTCCTATGGTATTGGGTTGCTCAAAAGAGAGACCCTCAGCCTAGTTTATAGAGTTGGGGTTTAATCTATATTATCAGTGGAGAACTGGCCTTCTATTTTATTGAAATAAATACAGGAGTTTTCATAAGAGGTTTAAACTCTCATTCATTTGCTATAATTGTTAAATAGATATGGTATCCTGAACAAATGGCTTCCATACCACCACTGCATAGAAATGGCATGCAAAGAATTTGCAAGATTAATAATCAAAAATAGCTACCATATCATTAATTATTTTGGATCCCATCAACAAGGACCCCCCTTATCCTGTCCTTCACTTGACGCTGAAATCTAGGATCACAGTTCTTTGCAATTTAAAAGAGCCTGATTAGTGCACAGCACTGGTAATCCTATATTAAACCTGACTTATTGTTGCAGGGAATAGTAAGAGGTTGATACAAAGGTAGAAAATATAAAGCTTTAGATTTTTTGCATGCTCTGCACTTACAAAAGCACTGCCATATACATGAGTAGAGCAGGGCATATCCATTCAAGTGAACAGCAGGCTGTATAACCAGTGAACAAATAGTGCATTCAACTAGATGAACCCATTGTCTGTCCTAACAAAGAGTTAAAGATCTCAAGCATGGGTGGTACATTGTATGTTAATGCGTTTAAAAAAAAAAAAACAGTTTCCAAAGTCCCATACACATGGTGAGAATATTTGATGAATGGTCGTCCATTTTTTTTTTGTGTACATGCTAGTCTCATATCCAAAGTTAAAAGGTTACTAAAGTTACAAAAATTTGTGTACGACAGAAAGAAAATTTAGAAGTGATATAATGTATCTATATTGTATTTTCGGAGCAAAACTATACTGATTAAATGAAACTCATACAATCTGGTACTGTATGAGAAAAAAATTTGTGCTTGCCCCTTCAAATAATTTTGGACAAAAGTGTACTAATGATCAGATTATTGTATGACCGCTTCAAAAGTGGTATTTTTCATACGATTTTCTGATATTGTGTGCTAGGTTTAAGTCTATCCCCTAAATGCACTTTGTAAGCTATTCTGAACAATTAAGACCCATGTATAAACCTGCTCCAAAGAAACAAGAAAGGTAAGCAAAATTAATTTTTTAGGTATGTTGTGAGAATGGGAACACATAAAACCATATAGTGGGGTTTTGTAGATTTTACTGCAAAGGTGGAAATACACTTTAAAGTGACCCTAAAATAGGGGGTTGAACAAAAAAATGTAAACACTCCATGATTTGAAGGTGTGAAAGTGATGGCATGTTTCACATTGAAAGTGGAAGTGATGTAAGATTCTTTTGCTTTCGCTGTGTGATGAGACACCTAGCTAATAGGTGGGAAGCCTCACTAATGTCATTCACTGAATTTGCTGCTAGTAATACTGAGTCATGTCAGAGGTTACTGAGATTCAAAGAGGGCAAATTGTTGGTGACCGTTTAGCTGGTGCCTCTGTGACTGAAGTTGCCAATTTATTTGCCATGTCACAAGGTCCAGTATCAAAGGTTATGGCGGCATATACAGTTTCCAGGAAAATGTTGTCTGATAAGCATAAGCGTGGTCAACATGGTCAACTGACCGAATGAGACAAAAGGACATTGTGCAGGATTGTGACCAGGAATGAGAAAACAACTGCTGCAAAAGTGACTGCAGAGCTCAGTCTCAGTATTCACTGGACTTTTGTATATGCCCTCATAACCTTTGCTATTGTACCTCGCAAAATGGCAAATAAATTGGCCACTTCAGTCACAGAGGCACCAGCTAAGCGGGCACCAACAATTTGCCCTCTTTGAATCTCAGTAAATTCTGAAATGACTCCGTATTACTAGCAACTCACACAGTACAGCTGAATCAAAAACATTTTATATCACTTCAGCTTTCAACACGAAGCATCACTCCACACATGCAAATCATGTAGTGTTTTCATTTTTTATCTAACCAATGTATATCCTTTTCTAAAAATAATCCATACGTTTCCATACCTAATGGCCCTGTAATCTATTTTTCATGAAATTACTTGTTGCTTTGTTTTTGTTCCTCCTTTTAATGTCCACTGTGATCTCTTGAACCTCTCCTTTCCCCATTTACTTTCTTTTGTTTGGAATGAGCAGTGCGTGTTATTTTATGTAATTTGCACTGTTCTATGTACACTACATATCCTATAGTCCCTAGTCCATCTCAGGAGCAAGCAAAAGAGGGTGGTTATGTTGATGTAATTTGCACTACTATGTACACTACATATCCCATAGTCCCTAGTCCATCTCAGGAGCAAGCAAAAGCGGGTGGTTATGTTGATGTAATTTACACTGTTCTATGTACACTACATATCCCATAGTCCCTAGTCCATCTCAGGAGCAAGCAAAAGAGCATGGTTATGTTGATGTAATTTACACTGTTCTATGTACACTACATATCCCATAGTCCCTAGTCCTTCTCAGGAGCAGGCAAAAGAGCATGGTTATGTTGATGTAATTTGCACTGTTCTATGTACACTACATATCCCATAGTCCCTAGTCCATCTCAGGAGCAAGCAAAAGAGGGTGGGTATGTTGATGTAATTTACACTGTTCTATGTACACTACATATCCCATAGTCCCTAGTCCATCTCAGGAGTAAGCAAAAGAGGGTGGTTATGTTGATGTGATTTGCACTGTCTATGTACACTACATATCCCATAGTCCCTAGTCCATCTCAGGAGCAGGCAAAAGAGCGTGGTTATGTTGATGTAATTTGCACTGTTTTATGTACACTACATATCTCATAGTCCCTAGTCCATCTCAGGAGCAGACAAAAGAGGGTAGTTATGTTGATGTAATTTGCACTGTCTATGTACACTACATATCCCATAGTCCCTAGTCCATCTCAGGAGCAGACAAAAGAGGGTGGTTATGTTGATGTAATTTGCACTGTCTATGTACACTACATATCCCATAGTCCCTAGTCGATCTCAGGAGCAAGCAAAAGAGGTTGGTTATGTTGATGTAATTTGCACTGTTCTATGTAGACTGCATATCCCATAGTCCCTAG